TGCCCCTTCTCCCCGCCCCCGCCTCCGCGCGCCATTCCTCGCCGTCCTCCGGCCGTGCGCCCCGCCAGCCGCGTCTCGGCCATGGCAGGCCTGGGGCCGCGACCCGCCAAGGGCTACCGGGTGGTGCTGCTCGGGAGCGTGGCCGTGGGCAAGACGGCGCTGGCCACGCAGTTCGCCTGCGGCAGCTTCCCGGAGCAGTGCGAGCCGTCGGTGGAGGAGCTCTTCAGCAAGGTGATCGAGGTGAACGCGGCGCCCGCCCTGCTGGAGATCGTGGACACCGTGGGCGCCGAGCACCTGGTCACCCTCAAGGACCTGTACATCAAGAACAGCGACGGCTTCGTGGTGCTCTACAGCGTGTGCAGCGAGGCCTCGTTCGAGGCGGTGCGGCCGCTGCGGGAGCGCATGGGCCGGCTGCGGGGCCCCAAGGCCGTGCCGCTCGTGCTCGTGGGCACCAAGGCCGACCTGGACGCCGAGCGCCAGGTGCTGACGGCGCGGGGCCGCGCGCTGGCCCGCGAGTGGCGGTGCCCGTTCCTGGAGGTCACGGCCAAGAGCAAACTGATGGTGGACCAGGTGTTCACGCAGGTGGTGCGCGAGGTGGAGGCCCTGGCCCCGCCCGAGGAGCGGGCCCCGGCGCTCCCCACCCATGCCCAGGACACGTGGCCCTCGGAAAGATTCATTGGCTGACGCGCAAAGGTGACTTTTTAGTGTGTTCGGCGCGTTTCTGATTTCTGAAGCTCAGTCCTCCTTCCCTGCCTTTTTAACGAAAGTTTTCCGGCCCAAGACAAGTGATGATGGCTTCTGTGTCGGAACTCAAACCAGCGCTTTGGACTGTTGGCCTGAAAACTTTGGCCACTTTGTTTACCTCTTACAGGGCTCTAGAAAACCCAAAATTCGTATTGTTTTCCTGGACGGAGAGTCCCAGCCTTTTCTTCACATGGGATTTGTTACAGGATTCTCTTTTTTCCCCCTTTTGATAATTAATGCCTTCGAATGCACCAGACCTTTGAAATTGATTGAGGAACATGAACTAAAGACTTTAAGCCTTGGATTCTGTGAGGTTTTCATGTGTTTCCCTCTCATCCGCAGCCTTGCATTGCAGCAGTAATATTTTCCTCTCTGTGTGTTTCTAAATATAGTTATGACATACACAGCGTTGGTTTGAAAGGGATATTGTATACCCTGGGAGGGGAACACGTAACTGCTCACACACAGCTCAGCCTGCCTTCAGCTCTGTAATTGACATCTAGTCGATGTTGAATCTGTACACCGGGTGAAAATAAAGTGATTTTAAAAGGTGATAGTTTTAAATATCTGTCTCTCTAATACTTAAAGCTACAGTTTCTACAGTTTGCACGCACGGTCTCTGCTCCTAAGCTGTTTCCCAGGAAGCTCGTTAGGAACCAGAGGGAAAATGGCTGCATCTGGTATGTGTTTCTTGTTGCCAGCGTAGGTGTGTTTTTGTCTCTGCATGGTTTACAGTGACATGGGGACTCCAGGAGAAGCAAGCCGTGTTTGAGTCTTCTCGTATAGTTTTCACATAACGAGGCAAGAAAAGTTTTCTTGCACCCGTTTAAAAACATTATGGTTTTGTAATTTGAAGAATTACATGAGTTGCGTGTGCTTTTTTTTCATGTTAACACATTTTTCAAATTTAGGAACCTAGCCTTACCACTTAAACGTCCTTCTAGGAGAAAGTAACAAGAAAAACAAAATTAAATAAACAAGAATGCTCAAAACTATGCCAGGGATCTGAAAAAGTTCATTTTGTTACAGGGAAGTTATCTATACAGTGATGGTTATACGGGCTCTGGGAGCTTTATTTATATTATATGTGTTGGGTGAACAGAAGGATGGATTTTATTTTAACAGAAAAAGTGTAAGTATGTTAGAGCCTGTCAGTGCCTGACAGCCAGTTCACCAGGGGAACGGGCTAGGCTGGGTGACACCTGTCTTTTATCTTTTCCTCTGTCCCTGGGCCTCGGGGGAGGGAGGTGTTGGGCACTTACTTGTGAAGCCTTGAAGTCCAACCTATTTACTCTCTCCTCTGACCCTCTGTGTTCTGGGGTCATTCCTCCTGGCTGAGTTACCCACATCCCCCTCCAGGACATTTCAAACACAGGGAGGAAGGGAGGGGGTCCTGCAGAGTGGTGAAGGGTGGGGGAATACCTTCCTAGTCTCAGGTGTCTTCCTCCAAAGCTGCCCCTTCCTCTGCCCGAACAGAAGCAAAAACCCAAGACTGTTACTGGAGTGGATGTTGGGCTGTGCAGAGAAAGCACGCAGGGCGTGAACAGTGTCCTGTCCCCAGCCATGAAAGCAGGGCCCCCGAGGACTGCAAGCTGAGTGACCCTCTGGGCCTGCCTGCCCCTGCTTCCCACCAGCCCTGTCTTTCTGACTCACCACCTGCTTGCACTGAGGCCTCCTGGGAGGTCTTGTGTCCCTGAATCCCTGTGCCTCTGGAAGATCCGTTCAATCCAGGAAAAAATTCACAAATAGCCATTTCTTCGTTTAGATTCCTAGGACCTCCTCAGACCCTTCCACTCAGATCTACATTTTGGCTCAGAGCCCAGGGTGTTCCTTGCTGACCGGTGAACATAACAAATACTCAGGCCCACACGATCGGCTCCTAGGACCTCAGGAATATGTTTGAAGCCGTTCTCTGCGCACGCAAGCGCGCATGCAAATACATGTAAAATTCAAGACCGACATACCCGATTTTCTTTCTCTTCCTCCATTTCACGTGTCTAACTTCCATATGTCACACACAGTTGCCTGGAGTCCCTCTGGAGTCAAGTGCAGCCTAACTAGAGTGAACTTGAAGCAGCAGATATGACTGCTTGTCAGGTCCGGGTGCCGTGGTCCATGGAGGCACTGCCTGGTGGGGGCGGGGTGGGGGGGGTACCTGAAACGGGCAGCCTAACTCACCAGCCTGCAAATGGTGTTACCATCTCAGGTCATTCACAGCTGGGCCCTGGGCTGGGGGCCACGTGCGTGCTCAGCATAACTGGGGCACGTGAAACTGGTTTCCCAAGTGGCTGTGACATTCCCATGCCCTCCGGCATCCGATGCCCGTAAATGCCCTGCAGCTCAGAGCACCTGCAGCCTCCCTTCTGGCCCGTGTGTTGTGGGTTCGTCTGTATCGTTCAGATCGCTGGTGATGCTGAGAATTCTCTGGGAGGGTTTCAAATGACATTCGATTTCTTCTCCAGTGAAATGCCTGTTCTTTTCGTCAGCTTTTAAAATTGTGTAATCTGTCCATTTCTTCTTGGTTCTTGGAGGTTTTACTCTGTCTCTGGGGTGGGCAGCCTCTGGGATGCCTCCAATGACCCCACCTCCTGGTACGCATGCCCTGTGTGACTGCCTCCCCTTGAGGGGGGGCAGGACCTAGTGACTCTCTTCTGGGAATACAACAGGACAACAGTGATGGGAATGTCACTTCTGAGATTAAATTCCAAGCCACTGACCTCTGCCCTGCTCGGCCTCCTTCAGAGCCCTTGTTCTGGAAAGGCAAGCTGCCGTGTTGGGACTAGCCTGGTGGAGACAGCCATGTGGCAAGGAACTACTGTCCCAACCGGCAGCTATTGAGGACCTGAGACCTGCCCACAGCTCCTAAGTGAGCTTGGGAGGGGGGACCCTTTCCCAGATGAGCCCTGAGATCTGAGCAGCCCCCGCCAAGCCCTTCCCACAGCCCGTGAGGGAGTCTGAGCGGAGCCCCAGCTGAGCCGCAGAGGCTCCTGACCCACAGACACTGTGAGATGGTGAGTGTGTATTGTTTTACGCCAGTAAGTTTTAAGGTAATTTGTCATGCAGCCACGGACAACTACTACAACTGTTTGGTACCTGGACTAGGGTGCCGACATACAAATATCTGAACCAGGCCGTGGGCAGAGCCAGGTGGGATTCTGAGGAGTGTTAGGTAAGCACTGAGGCATCCTGGACAGGCCTTTAGTGGAAAGCTGGGCTTTGAGGACGCTGCCAGTGAGGGCGCACAGGAAGTGAGGAACAGGGGTCTTGTGACATAATGGCAGAAGCGTGGCCACCTTGTCATCTGCAGTTGTGTGGGGAGCAGTGTACCCGCTGCAATCCAGAAGCCGATGGGTAGATTTCCAGGCCGAGTGCAGAAGAAGCCGTCTGGCCTCTTCCTGTGCCTTATGGTTTCATTTGAGCAGAGAGACAGGCTGAAGGCACTTGGGAAACTAAAAGGAACCGGTACCTGATAGTTGTCAAAATTCGCAGTTTCTCCAAAGGACAAAAGATGCTAAAATTAAGAAATGACTTCCCGGGGAACATCAAATCCGGGAGAATTGGTCTCAGATGAAGCCAGGGGCGCCTGGATGGCTCAGTCGGTTAGGCGTCCAACTTCGGTTCAGGTCATGATCTCACGGTTCGTGGATTCGAGCCCCACGTCGGGCTCTGTGCCGACAGCTTGGAGCCCGGAGCCCGCTTCAGATTCTGTGTCTCCCTCTCTCTCTGCCCCTCCCCCACTCACGCTCTGTCTCTGTCTCTCAAAAATAAACATTAAACAAATATTTTAAATAAAAATGAAGCCAAGGGTGTGAGTACGTGAAGCCCTTTGTCAAGACCTCAGAAAGATCAAAGGTGACAACTCAGAGTACTGTTCAGTCACATGACGGGCCTGTTAGAAAGATGAAGATGTACCCCACAAATCCTCTCTCCCAAAGACAGGGCCTCTGGGAAACCTCAGCAGTGCCCCTCAGCCATCTCAGGAGGAGCCCAGCGTAGAGCAGGTTCATCTCAAAGAGCTTTGTGGGTGCACCTTCTTGCTAACGGAGCGAGCCCAGTCCCCAAACAGATTTGTGCGCGTATCTTTTCTATTACAGAGTTAACCCCAAATCACAGGAGATCCACAAAGTTTTTGAGAAAAAGTATACCAGTCCAAACACGACCTGTTTGGACTAAAAAAGGACAGAGCCATTCAAAATGAAAAGAGACTTTGGACACCCACACCCCCAGGCTGCACAATTTTACTGGAAGGAAGCAGGCTGAGAAAACTGATTGCAAACATGTGCTTTTCTTTAAAAAAAGGGGGGGGGTTTGAAATCAGGAAGTGTGTCTTCCGGATCTGTTGTCCCTTTTCAACATTGGTTTGTCTACTTGGGATCCCTTGAGATTCCATACATATTTTAGGATGGGTTTTTCTCTTTCCGCAGAACATGCCATTGAGATTTTGATAGAAATTGCCTTCACTTTGTAGATTGCTTTGGGTGGTGTAGACACCTTTATAGCCTTCAATCTTCCAGTTCGTGACCATGGGACCTTCTTCCATTATCTCTGTGTCTTCTTTCAGCAATGTTTTGTAGTCTTCATTGTACAAGTCATCCACCTCCTTGGTGAGGTTTATTCCTAGTATTTTATTCTTTCTGATGCTATTGCAAATTGTGTTCTTAGTTTCCTTTTGGATAGTTGGCCATTGTTAGTGTATAGAAATGCAATCAATTTTTGTGTGTTGATTTTTGTATCCTGTAGCTTTCTGAACATATTATCTCTAACAGTTTTTTTTAATGAAATCTTTAAGGTTTTCTGCACTTAATATATCCATGTATATGTCTGTCATCTGAGAACAAAGATAATTTTATTTCTTCCTTTCCAATTATAATGCCTTTTTTTTCCTTGCCCAATTGCTCTGGCAAGAACTTCCAGTTATGAATAGAAGTGGCGAAAGCATG